TAAATATATTTTTTCATATTCACAACCAAGTGATATATATATATGTATATATACCGGACAGTTCTGTTTGTGACGATAGATACTACGACTTCACTAGCTTCCTGCTACGGTTTTTTCCGGTCAGGTCGAGCGGCGATGGTCGGGGCCGTTACTAGGCGGCCATGCTGTGCCTCTAGTGTCAGCGGCGTGTCTGGAGTGTATTTTTTGGCTGTGACAGACCTTTCTTTGTTTCGTGGATGTTTTGCTGGCTTGTGATGGGGTGTGAACCGACAGTCTGTAGAGTTTTCCATCTGGTGTGGGTGAGTGATAGTCTACTTTGATTTTGGTTAAGGTAGATTATCATTTACAGTGTAATCAGTGAGGGGATTCTGCAGACTGTTGAGGGTTCGGCCTCCTGATGAGTCGGTGAAACTCCGACGAAACAGTTTGTCACAGCCCCTCGTGTGTTGTCCTCTTCTCTCTCTCTGCCTACGGTTTTACCGGACAGTTCTGTTTGTGACGATATATATATAATATTTTTCAAATATGCCTTCATTTGCATTATATTTCTTTAACTGTTGACTCACCCTGGTATAGCCTTTCAACCTAGAGTCTTGTCAGAAGACCCTTGTCTCTATGGATGGGGGAGGGATACACCTTTGTCCAATCTATAGTCATACCCGCATCAGGTCATGCTTATTGGACCCTTGTACGGTGAAACATCTTTGTGGTCTGTCATATTTTCATTTGGGTGATGCTTCAATGAGTAGGTGCATGTGCATTTTTTTCAATTAAAGAGAAAGGTTGTTCCTCTGTGTATGTTATCGATGCTCACAAAATGAATTGCATTGTTGCGCTATTCGCCCTTACACTTTTGATGGTAGACATGTGCATGTATGCAATACGAGAGAGAGAGAGAGAGAGAGAGAGAGAGAGAGAGAGAGAGAGAGAGAGAGAGAGAGAGAGAGAGAGAGAGAGAGGTGATCACCAATTGGTATGGCCGCAATGAAAAGATGACTTGTATTCGTCTTCCATCCAAGATTTTAACAACCATATGGCAGGGGTATGGTAAAAGGTTTAACCGGTAGGGTAAGTGACATTTTGAAAAGATGTCAGACGTAAGCGACGCTTGGGTTATTTCATTAATTTTGAGGATCACTAGAGGGACGTGCTAGTGTAAGTCAACCATTTGAGGTACACAATAGAAGTAATAATACTAGGTTACCAGCCAGGCCGCCCGGGCACTGTATTTTCTCGAGCGGGCCGACCGTGCAAGGACCAAGGAAGGTAAAAAATAATAATAATAATAAAAATAAAAAATCGAAAAACAACTATGTTATGATGAAAAATAAATTAAACAACGTTTGCCTCATGGTTACATTGAAATTCTTTACCAAATTTAAAATAAATAAAAATATATATAAATTTATTATTATTAGTTTTTAATATTTTTTATTTATTTTGGGTTCGACCGGGCAAGTGGACCCGGACCACTCTGGTAGCCTAGATTTCAAACAAATTAATCAAATTTTTAGCAGTGTTTTAACCACCATCATATTATCTGATATGATTTCATTGAACATTTTTGAACTTCCCCATGTAGATGAGTCAAACACAAATAAAGGAAGTGTTTACAAACCTCAATTTTTATAAATTTTGTTATGTGAACAATAAGTTATGAGATTACATTCTTCAAATAAAATTCGGTTTGAAACAAAAATCCAATTAAGGGGTGGTTCCTTAAATTGAATGATTTATTGTTTGGAACCAATTCCTAGCCACATAGATACCGCAATACCTATATCATTACCAATAGTAGTAACTTTTGCAATTTTTTTTTTCTAGGGATATATTTGTAATCGTCACAAATATTTATAACAAGTTTGTAACTTTGTATAATGAATTAAATATTTTTTCAACCATCAATTCATTCGGTTTAATGCATAAGCATTCTCCTAGCTGGTTTATGACAACGTATGTTGTGCCAAAGCTTGTTGACACTTTTTAAAGTTGCACAAAAAATTGAGTGCGATTGTGAAAGTTGCACCAAAGGTGAAAAACAATCTCGTAACTTTCCCTCATTTTTTATATATATATATTTTTGACGATTAGATCTAGAGTAATACGGCACGGGTAAGGACAATGTTATAACTTCCCCTGTGTGTATGTGTGTGTTCTTCTTTATCTATTTTGATTTCTTACTTCGTTTATATTTATTTTATTTTCACTACTTCTTTGGATGTTTTTTTTTTAATTTTTACATTAGAGATAAGATACATGCTTTAGATTTGAAGCTTTAATTTGGATGTGTTTGTAAAGAGGTGCGAAAAATCACAATTGGTTTGATTTTCTATATTTCACATAAAGCTCATCCACCCTCTTTGCTAGTGGTGCCTCAACCATTCTGGTATGTCTGATACATCAATCGAGGACAATCTCATAAGTTCCTTACGTTTTGGGCATTTTTTATTTGAACATTGGTACTACCGTAAAAATAACTCATATGGGTAAACCAAAGGCTAAGTCATACTAGTGGGGTTTAGTTTGCCCTTCAGTATTATTCAACGTGGCCACAATGCAGCTGTGAGATTTTTTGATAAGATGGTGGGAACCAGTTCATACTCAAAACTATGTCTAAATTCCTACTAAGGGGACGTAGGGCCTCGCTACATGGCGTCAATAAAATAAGAAGTTACGAGTCCTCATATATCACAAAACTCATTTTTTTTTCTCATTTTCTGCAGGATAGCCACATGGCTCATGTTAGGTACCCTCTTGCAAACTCCGCAACCCTTACAAAGAAGGACACATTTTTATTGGGGGGGCAAGTACTTTAAAGTCACACCCCATGTTTAGGATGGACAACTTTAGCAGTTCCGAGAAAATGGCAAATAAGGCAATACTGAAAATGCATTTACTGCAGCGGCTGATGACTGACACAATTTCAAATCAGTGCCAAACTTGCACGTTTTCAAACTCAGGACATGACTACAATGCGCCTTTGTCTCTTTTTGCCTATTTCAAATTAAAAGTGTAACACGGCCACAGTTTCTTTTTTTTTTAATATATATTTTTTACTTGTTTATGTCCGCCCAAGTAGTAAGAAACCGTAAGTATTTTCGAGGTATTTTTTTTTGTTTTTTTAAATTCTTATGAGGCCAACTAATTCAATTACTTGTCAAACGAGGCACTTTTCTCCGACCTCGAAAACMCCCTGTGTGCCAAAAAAAAAAAAAACCAGCCCGGCGTCCTTCTGATTGGTGTCGCGAGACATTTTGCTCTGGAGCCCGAACCCCGAACGTTGCACTGCGTTAACGTAAAGGGTCCATGGCCGATGTACGGGCCAAGTACTGGTGGTTTAAAAGAACCCAAATTTCCTTACGTTCCAGGCGGGGGGTTTACGAGTCCTACCAAACCCCTCTTTCAACAAGAAACTGACCTCATGAACTGGTAAATTGGGTGGATACTCATTTTGGTTGGGGGGCGGTCTGTAAACTAGATGAGTTCTGCAGTTTTCATCGTTTCATGTGCCTTGTGGCAAGGCCCTACCCCCCCCCGTCGTTTGCCTGAGAGCAAGCCTGCACCTTTCCTTGCTTTTGAAGAGGTGTTGGTTTTTCAACATCGGCATACCGGTGACCAAGGCCAAGGTGGGTAGATCCAGTCCTGCAATGCTCCCTTCTTCGCTGCAAGTTTTCTTTTTCTTTTCTTTTCTTTTTTCTTGAACTGAACTATATTATTCTCTCAATTTCACCTTTCACAACCTACCTACCCACCACTACTCCTAAGCCTATATAGGGGATCCCTGCAAGCATAGCTACGTCTCACAGGGATGCATGTTGGCCCCCACCCTAATCAGGGGTGGTCAGGGAGTAGGGTGGGGCTGCAGGTTTTGGGGGGGGGTAGCTAACGCAAAGACCCAGTATTTTGGCAGTAGCTGCACCTCCCATCTACTTCCTCTCCCCCCCCCACCATCCAGTAACAACACTGTCTATGACCAGCACTCTCCTACACACCACGCACAACCCACACACAAGGCCAAAGACCCTACCAATGTGGAACCGGGGAAGCAAGCCAAATATCTCAGCTGGTTGGCACCAAGAGTGCCGTGGGTGGTGAGTGGGGATTGAACCCATGACCTCCTGATTGCCACTTGCCTGCCCAACCAACTGAGGGCATACTCCCTCAAAATCGCAAATTCCCGAAGAACGTCTTTGAGCTTAGCGTACTGCTCCTAACCCCCCTCACGGTCACGCTGACAGAAGTTTCTCAGGAGTGGCAACGGGGGTCGATCGTGCTTGTGTCGGCTGAGGGCAATTTTGCAGCTCTTCCTCCTTTATTGCATTGTCCACTTCTTTTTTTGATTTTTGATTTTGAAACATCGGTGTTGCCGTCACGAAGGCCAAGGCGGGTAGATCCGGCCCTTCTCCTGAGGGCAATTCCGTAAGAAAAGACCATCGGTCAACCGTAAGCAAGTCCAAGGGGGTTTTATCGTGCGCGTCAGCTGAGGACCGAGTCTGTAGCTCCCTCTTCATCTGTTTTGCATGTTCTCTTTTTTCGTCTTCGAATTCGAACATCGGTCGGCATTACCGTGACGAAGGTCAAGGTGGGAAGATCAGGCCCTTCGCCTGAGGGTAATTCGGTAAGTCCTCCTCTTGTTTTGGGGGCTTTTTCTTCTTTTCCTGAACATCGGTACTTCCCTACGGACTTCCCCCGAACATAACGCATCCTAAAAGTGAATGTATACAGCTATATTTCCGGCTAGATACAGCCAAAATAAGGGTGCGTTGTTTTCGGGGGAAGACGGTAGCCAAGCTCAAAGGAGGGAATGTCCGGCCCGGCGCATTCACACATTGGGCGTCGCTCCACTGCTCTGCGCGTGCACGAAATACAAAAAAATTGGCAACGCATCTTTCCATGTTGTAGCGTAAGATTCACTCTCATTTTGCACATTTGTTTGGCTGGTCGTGGAGCGAGGCCCATTTACGTCAGCCGCGCTATGTAGCCAGGTGGTCGCAGCGGCGGGGCTATGTTTTCTTTTTCGCATTTTCGATTTTTCCCACCGGGCATCGATCCCAACACCCCGCCGCAAGATCCACGTGCGTTGTCGGGCTCGCTCTCCTGCTCTCTCTCGCTCTCTCGCTCTCTCGGTCTTTTGGGCCTGTTTTTGGCGCGGTGTCATCCTGAGCATCTTTCTTTCGCAGTTTGCTTGCACTGCCCCGCGTTTTTTGGATTGCATGTGCTATTGAGAGGAAGAGAGAGAGAGAGAGAGAGAGAGAGAGAGAGAGAGAGAGAGAGAGAGAGAGAGAGAGAGAAGCTTTGAGCTATGGAGCCCTCCGTTGTGGAAGAGCGGCTTCTTCTCGAGCTGAACGGCAGATCAGAGAAAGGCGATGTCGGCGGCGATGACGGGGCGGTGCACTCGGAGGATTTCGCAAAGCTCCTTGGAGTGGAACACGTGGCAATCGTTGGGGTTATCAAGAGTCTTCAGGCGCATGAACTTATTGATGTCCAGGTCAGCATTAGTGGAACCACTCTTCTCTTTCATTCTCTCTCTGTCTCTCGCTCCCTCGCCCCCCCCTCCCCTCCTTTCTCTCTCTCTCTCTCTCTCTCTCTCTCTCCCTCCCTCCCTCCCTCTCTCTCTCCCTCCTGTTCCTTTCTGATTGTCTCTCGCTCAGGCCATCGCATGAACCAGTTAAATATTCATTCAGGAAAGTTCAGTATTTCAAGTAGTCCAATCAAATCGACCAATTACATCAGCAAACCGTTAGAACACAATCTAATCCTGTCTAAACCGATCTCATTCAATCAATTAATCAACCATTCTGAACCAATTAGTCAATGAATCAGTCAATCAATCAATCAATCAATTAATGATTCAATTAATCATTGAATCACTCAGTGAATCAACGATGCAATGAATGAATGAATCGATCAACCAATCGATTCAGATGATTGGCTGATCAGCTAATCAAATCGATGGATCAATCCATCTAATGAAACCAATCTAATTCAGAGAATCAGATCCCAAAGTCCAGAACCAGTCGTTTAATCACGCTGTCGATAGCCTGGCCACTCGACTCTCCATTCAATCGATCCGATGATCAGTTGATTATTCTTAATGATGCATTTTCATTGTGGTTACTATATTAATCAATCAATCAATCAAATTCATATGCCCTGTTTGCCAACCTGATTAAACATCGCTCTTTTTTAGATAATAAGATCGGAAAAAAAAAGGCAACACGTGAAAAGAAGTCACTCGTGCCATGCGCGATACCATGCTTGATACCATGCAAAAGATTAGGTCGGTGGTGCTGTCGTGTGCGGTAAGTCCTAATGAAAAAACGTGTCAGGATTTGTCCTTTCCTTCTCTGGTCGTCGCCCCCTTCTCCCTCCTTCCTCCCCCTC